ACACACACACACACACACACACACACACACACACACACACCACGCCTCTTCCTGCCCCAGGGAGGTGCAGCATAATGAAGGGCAGACTCTGGGGCCAAAGGGGCCTGAGTTCAAGTGTAGCGCTCAGCCACTAACTAATTGGGTAACTTTGGAAAAGGCCCTTGACATCCCTAAACTTCAATTTCCTTATCTGTGAAATGAGAACAGATGACAGTTATTGCCTTTTAGCATTATAGTGAGGATTAAGATGATACCCATAAAGTCCTTAGTACATAATATTCTATAAAGGGCAATTATTGTCACTTTTATTCATCTCTGTCATCATCATCATCATTATCAATACAATAGTTGTTTCTGCTGTACATTCTAACACCTCCTAGCCTAAGTCCCCAGCAGGCAGCAGCCTCGTCCTAGAGACAGCCAGGAGCAATTTTTTTTTTTTTTAAGAAAGAATTGGTCAGGGGAAAAACAGCTCAGCAAAAGAGAGCAACCCTGGTGAGGCAAAGATTTTGGGGTTCATGAGATTCCCAGAGTCCCTCAGCCTTGTGGCAGCATAGCATCATCTCACCTGCCATTCGTCAAGCAAAAAATACAATTACCTCAGGGCTGGGAAGGTGGCTCAGCGGTAGAGCGCTTGCCTTGCATGCATGAGGCTCTGGGTTCCATTCCTCAGCACCATATAAGCAAAAAGAAAAAAGCCGGAAGTGGTGCTGTGGCTCAAGTGGTAGAGTGCTAGCCTTGAGCTGAAGAGCTGAGGGACAGCACCCAGGCCCAGACTGACCAAAAAAAAAAAAGAAAGAAAGAAACACAATCACCAGCTTTGTAATTAGCTCCTGGTACCCAAATCTACCTACACGCCAGGCAATCAGACCAGTTTTCGAAACCCAAAGCAGGAGATTAAGAAAGCACAAAGAGGTGTAGGTCTCTTTTCTTTGTCAGATGTCTGAGACATCTTGATTGCCAACAAAATATTAATCACTTTTTCACTGCTCTCTTAATGAGACGCATTCATGGGCAACAAAATATTAATTTGTCTTGTCTGATCTGTTAAGAATTCTGTTAATGAATTCAGTCACAGAGCTATTACAGAATGCCATCCTAATGACACATGTAATTAAACTTTTCTGACTTGCAAACATCAAAGATGCCTTAAGCCTCAGAATAATATTTGATCAGAAAGCAAATGTACCCCTCCAGCCCCGCGGCAAGAGAGGAGCTGCTCACACCCCGTCAGACGCACTCATGATTCACCTGGTCTTATGCCTGCGTGGCCACATGGTAAAACACAGGGAATCCGCCTAGGATTAGTTCACTAAGTCCCAGGGACCCATATTCAGGCACAAACCCAAGGACTCTATCCTCCCCTCCAGAGGAGGCAGGTACTGTGCTGCTTCAACCATGTCAGTGGCCCTTCACTTCAAGAGTCTTCCTCAGCCCATCACCGGTAGCTCACGCCTGTAATCCCGGCTGTTCAGGAGGCTAAGACCAGAAGGTCACAAGTTCAAAGCCAGCCTGAGCAGGAGTGTTCATGAGACTCTCCTCTCTAATTAGCTGCCACAAGCTGAAAATGGAGCTGTGGCTCAAGTGGTAGAGCATTAGCCTTGAGTAAAAAAGCTAAGGGACAGTACCCAGGTCCTGAGTTCAAGCCCCAGTACTGGGCAAAAAAAAAAAAAAAAAGAGACTCATTATATTTCAAATACCTTGAAAGAGCTGCTGTATTTTTTTGTTGTGGTTTTATTTGAGGGTGTCCCCCCCAACTAAAGCTCACTATTTGGGATTTCAAAAGTCAGCAGGCAGGATACAGTGATTTAAAAAAAAAAAACCAGAAACACAAAACCTCTAGAAGAAAGTATCTTTGGTTTCTGTTTGAAGGGCCTGTTAACAGGTTCGCTTCCCGCCCCACCCCCATACCTAAAAGATAGAAAACAGGAAATAAGGAATTCTAATGAAGCATAGGCTACCTTCAAGTGCTTCTTTAGAAGTGAATTGTGTTTTAAAAAGAGGAAAAAAGACCAAAAGCAAATGATTTAGGAGCTCATGAGTCATGTAATTTTTATTGTCTTTATATGAACCAGTCATGGATCCATTGGAAAAAAATAGAGAAAAAAAAAAAAAGATGAGAGGTGTTTGATTAGCGGCGAGTGGCAACATGACTGACTGTGGGTCTCTGGTCCCGCATTCGAATCACCTCATTAAACGCCTGGGTACATTTTGTTTTCAAATCTTGGAAAACAGCATAACTTGAAACACTTAAAGACAATGGCCAATTCTCTCTCGTTGGCGTTGAAGACCCCAGAGACATCTAAACATCCAGGTCTTTGGAGCCTTTTGTTGGTGGTGGTTATGGGGCTTGAACGTGGGGCCTGGCACTGGCCCTGAACCCTTTTTCCTCAAGGCCAACGCTCCACCACTTTGAGCCATAGTGCCACTTCCAGTTTTCTGGTGGCTAACTGGAGATAAACCCCAGCTAGCTTTGAACCACCATCCTCGGATCTCAGCCCTCTGAGTAGCTAGGATGACAGGCGTGAGCCACCAGCACTAGCCTCTTTGGCGCTTTGCATGATGAATTCATACACTTGAGAACCCAGAGCCCAGGCCCACGCTATGCCAGACCATGGGACTCGGGCACGGACTCTGCCTCCAAGTCTCTCCTCTGACCTTGGCTGTTTGGGTGGCTTCCTCAAGGTCACAGTACTGGTCTCAGGGCCTGACTTGTATCCAATGTCCATTTCCAGGTAGAGATCCCTCCAGAAAGGGCTAGAATTTAGTGATGGGTGGGAGGAAGGAGGGTTGCTCTCCTTACACTCTCTTCCCCCAAAGAGCCTAGGGGTGCCCCCTAAGAAAGGCTCTGAATAAATCTTTCTGAACCTAAACTTGAAACCACCCGGCAGGCCCGGTGCTGAATGCTGAGCCACTAATACTCAGCACAGATGGCTCATGTTCCTATTATTTATTACTGACTCACACACAGGGCGCTCTGACAGCCTCCCCACCTCCTCTCTGCTTCACGATTGCCTAATGCTCAATACTAAACTATTGCTTACATCGCATTTAATTGCTTCCCTTAATAAGGGCAAATACTTAGAAAATAGCCTTTAAAAAAAAAAAGAAATCTTTAAATAATGTCTCTTTCCCTAAAATGGATGCACACACCGAGAGAAAGAATGGTCTAATCTGGCATCTGTTTATTTCTGGGAGGAACCTTGATTTTGTTAATACATTTCTATGCATCAGAGCAAAAAGCAAAAAAAAAAAAAAGCTATCCATAAAAAGACAATTACAGAGACGCAATCAAGCATCGATAGCAGTATTCAGACACATCGCGAGGAACATTCGGAAGAGGACAGATTACAGGTTTCGTTTTATGTAGCTCCTTATAAATCAATTTTTAAAAGCAATTCCCCAACATCCAATGAGGTAAATTTGATTGCTGTAGCCAGTATTCATATTCAGAAAACAGCGTGCACTTTGTTCTATAATTATACGATGCCTATTGTTTTAGCTTAGAGACAGTTCTTTTATTAATGACGGAAGCAGGTTCTCCCCCTCTCCAGAGCTGAGGCCACCGTCTGGCTAGGCGTTCAGGGCCGTGGTAGTCACCAGTGGAGGCGGAGGCTGCCACCCCTGAGCTGAGCCTGCCCTTCACTTCATCCCAGGTGCCATGGCCTGAAGAGTCCCAAAGAGAATTAAGTCCCCCAAGAGCTCAGGACACGAAAGAGTCAGGGTGTGAAAATGGGGACAAGACTGAAGACCAGTCCCCTGCTTTTCCCACCAGCTGCCTAGCCTTGATACCATGGGACTGGGCAGTGTTTTGGGGGGGAGGAAAGGGAAGAGGACGTGAGCACCCCAGTTGTCAAACCAATTCGGCTGGACACTGGTGGCCCCTGCCTACCTGCTCAGGAGGCTTAGATGGGAGGATCGTGGTTCGAAGCCAGCGCAGGCAGGAATGTCTGTGAGATTCATCTCTAAGTAACCAGCGAAAAGAAAAAGCTGGGAAATAAGAGTTGTAGCTCAAGTGGTAGAGCACCAGCCTACCAGAGAGAGAGAGAGAATGAGAGAGAGAGAGCCCAACTCTCTACCTGGTGTCCAATCAGTATTTATTGAAGGCCCACTGTGTGCCTGCACTTTGCTAGATCCTCGAGACACAGCAATGATCACAGAGCCCAGCAGCACCCATTTCTCCCCCAAAACTGGCCTAGTCGGGGCACTAAGGCCCATGGGTGAACCCACAATGGTGAGTGGCAGACCAACTCAGCCAGGCATGCGGGTGGCTCACGTCTATAATCGTAGCTAGGAGAAAGGACTCAGAGGAGAGCAGAGATTGGAGCACCCCTGGAGGAAATGGAGACAGACAGATGACAGCCTTCAGACAGAGTGGGAGACAGCAAGTAGAAAGTTCCAGAGGGGGGAGCATGTGTTGGCCCACTAGAGCAACAGCAAGCAGAAGAGGGCTCTGAAGAGACTGAGCCTGACCTGCAGCCTCTTGACCTGAGCAGGAGCGGGAGCAGGTGTGTGGGAGCAGGTGTGAGTGAGGAAGTGTGGGAGCAGACGTGGGAGCAGGTGTGGGGAAGCAGACACGCGGAGGGGTCAGGAAGTGTGCGATGTGACCTCTCCTGGAAAAGAGCCATTTTGGGTATGCTACGTTGAGAAGAGATTTCAGAGCAGCAGAAGTGGGGGGCGGGCGGTGTCTGTGGTCCCCATGGTGAGAAGAAGGTGTCTGAGCTAGGGTGGCCACAGAGGAGGTGACCAGAGAAATCTGATTCGGAGGATGCACCCCATGAGCCGAGCTTCTGCTTTGCTTCATGGTTTGGGAGTTTCAGGGGATCAAATAAAGCGGTGGGCAGCCATCTACGGGGATCCGGTCTAGGACCCCAGTAGACACTAAAATCTGCATATGTATAAAACAGAGTCACCTTGGCCAGTGCATTCTCCTGCACACCAGATCATCTCTGCGTGGCTTCTGCCTCCTAACACACTGAGAATACAGCTGTTGTTACATTGTACTCTTTTTTATCTTTTTTTATTTTTCGGTCAGTGGTGGGGCTTGAACTCTGGGCCTGGGCGCTGTCCCTCAGCTCTTCAGCTCAAGGCGAGCGCTCTCTCACTTAAGCCACGGCGCCACTTCTGGATTTCTGGTGGTTTATTGGAGATAAGAGTCTCATGGACTTTCCTGCCCCGACTGGCTTTGAAACCATGATCCTCAGATCTCAGCCTCCTGAGTAGCTAGGATGACAGGCGTGAGCCACCAGCGGCCGGCTGACATTGTACTCTTTAGGCCACGTGGACTGGAGAAAAACAAGTCTGCCCACCATCTTTTTCTGAATAATTTTCACTGGTCGAATCCACACATGTGGAGCCCACATGCATGAAGGCCCAGCTCGGTGCGGAGTTAGGGGCGCACGGCGCCTTCTTGGAGACTGTGGATGGCACAAACTGGGCATCACCCTCAGGGTGATCTGTGGCAATTCTGCCCTCACCTAGGGACCCTCTCAGCTTCGAAAATGCTGCACACACGATCAGCAACCTCATCAAAGTGGTCACAAGAGCCAGGGACCCAAGAGCCCAGGGCTGGAGTGAAGGAAGAGAGGCTGGAGGTGTGAGGCTCAGGAAGGCTGTAGGGGAAATAGCCGTCATCTGGCACCTGTCCCCTGCCAGCAGCTCTGCTTCTGCCCTTCCCATCAGAGCCTGCCCTGGCTCTGACCACATGAGGCCTGGAAGAGTTCCAAGCCCCCCGTGTTTCTCCCAAGAAAAGGCTGCACCCAGCTGGCTGGCCTCCTCTTAAGCTATCTACCATCACCAAGTGCGGGTACTCACGCCTGTAATCCTGGCTACTCAGGAGGCTGAGATCAGAGGATCACAGTTCAAAGCCAGCCCAGGCAGGAACATCCATGACACTCTTAGAGCCTTGAGCACAAAAGCTCAGGGACAGTACCTAGGTCCTGAGTTCACACACACACACACACACACACACACGCGCACACGCACACACACAGGCACACACACACACACACACACACACACACACCGTTATTCCACCACTGAAACTCCAGGCAAAACATCTTTTCCTCAAGACTTAGATTTTGACCCAGGAGACAGCGGAGACGAGAAGGAAGCCATCCCCACAAGCAACCCAGGCAGGAACCCTTCACGGCCCTGTGATGACACAGGACAAATTGGCTATCGGCTGTGTTACGGTTATGGCGGAGGCTTTCCCAGAATGGGAAGAATGGGGCTCTATGAAGCAGAGCGGTGTTCCACAGCCAGCACCGGTACGCTGCTCCGCCGGGAACACAGTGGGACGTTAGTTTTTATCTGCTGCTGAAGGCAGGCTGCGTCTGGGCTCAGTCTTCCTGCCTCTGCCCTCCTCCAGGCTTCTCTCCAGCCCTTTCCGTGGGGGAGTCCAAAAAGCATCTTTAAAGGGACTCAGAGCTGGGCACCGGTGGCTCACGCCTGTCATCCTCACTACTCAGGAGGCTGAGATCTGAGGATCATGGCTCAAAGCCAGCCTGGGCAGGAAAGACCGTGAGACTCTTTTCTCCAATGAACCACCTCAAATCCAGAAATGGCTCAAAAGCGGTGGAACTGGGGTGGCAGAGGTGCGTTAGCCCCATGCCAAGGAAGAGACACCTGGACAGTCAGGTATAAATGGATGTAGAAGGTCTGCACTGGCAGAATCCGCACCCCAGAAGGCGGGTCGGTGTTCCTCTGCCCACAGCTCTTCTAACCACTGGGCAGGCACAAAGGGTTTCTCCCTCTCCCTCTTCCCCCTCCCTCCCCCACCCCTCCTTCTCCCCCTCTATCTCCTCTTCATTTGTTCCTTCCCCTCCCTCCCCCTCCCTCTCTTCCCTCCCTCCCACAGAATTTCTGTTCTCCTAGCAAACTAGCCTAGAGTCCAGAGACCAATCTCACTTGTCATCTGTGCCCACCCAGGACTTTGGAGAAGATGACTCCCTGTACATCACCAAAGTGACCACCGTCCACATGGGCAATTACACCTGCCACGCCGCGGGCCACGAGCAGCTGTTCCAGACCCACGTCCTGCAGGTGAATGGTTAGTAAATGGCTCCGTGCATGTTGTCCCCTCAATCCCCAAAAAAAAATACACTGGGTGAAACAATGCCCCCTCCCGCTCCCCCCTCAATATTGTGTTGTGTTAAAGAACTGTCTGTCTATCCCCTGTCTAACTGTCTAACTCTCTAACTAACCGGCCCATCTAGTGCAAGGAATAAAATGGGAATGGTGGGAAAAAGAGCTAGGCCTGGCCTCCCCTCCTCCCCCCTACACTACCCCCCACCTCCGATGAAGTGAGCCCAAAGTTGGGGGATGGGACAGCTGAGGTCCCAGCAGCCAAAGCGGGGCCCGCAGGTGACAGGAAGTGGGGCGCTGCCCCGGGTCAGCTCAGGGTCTCTGGATCCAGCCAGCGTAGACTCTGTCTGCAATCTGCTACCCTTCCATACAGCAGGCCACCATTTCACCTGTGCAACTGGAAGGAATTGCGTCCACCACACGGGGCTCATTCCTGCCTCCTAACAGCCCCGTCTCAGGCTGGGCAGGTCTGGAACATTTCTCTGTGTTGTCAGCACTCCTGGAGGCCGGGGAGAGGGGGAGAATGAACCCCACTCCCTCTGGATCACCCTCCCAGAAGCCTGTGTTTTCCAAGCATGTATTTGGCCCATCCCTGTGCTAAATGCTGCATAGGAACCCTCTGGGAAGGGATGTTCTAGCCTATTCTATGGGTGGATTTCTTTCTCTTATTCTTTTCTTTTTTCTTTTTGTTGCTTGTGGGTCTTGAACTCTGGGCCTGGGCGCTGTCCCTCAGCTCTTCAGCTCAAAGCAAGCACTCTACCATTTGAGCCACAGCGCCACTTCTGGTTTTCTAGTGGTTAATTGGAAATAAGAATCACATGGACTTTCCTGCCCAGGCTGACTTTGAACCGTGATCCTCAGATTTCAGCCTAAGACTACAGGCGTGAGCCACCATGCCCGGCGTATGAGTGGGTTTCGGAGGAAAGTCACTTGCTTGGGCCTCACACTACTGGTTGTTGTAGAACCAATGCCCACACTATCAGCCATCCAACTCAATCTGGCCACCCCAGATGCTACCAGTTGTGACCAACATTGACCTATAGATTCTCCATGACAACAGGTTGGGCTCCACTTGCTTCTGTTAACCCTGCAGGATGTTTTCAGGATTTTTATCTTTGTGCATGCCCAAGCTGTATCTTTTTCATTATTTCCATTGAGACCTAATTGTAACCCCTTTGGGGTTTCATGGTTGTGCTTGCTGGCCTGTGACGGATCGTGTGTGAACTAACGGAGAATTCCTCGTCGTTACCCCTGCTGAGAAAGCCAGCCTGCACTGGCCTTCAGGGGCTAGCGAGGGTACAGCTCTCTTTATCTCTTTGGCGTCAGTAACTGAGGCCTGAACTCGGGGGCTCACACTCAAGACAGATGCTCTACCCCTGAAGCCACACCTCCATATCCAGCTTCTTGCTGGTTCATTGGCGATAAGAGTCTCACAGGGCTGGGCTGGCTTTGAACCTGAGATCCTCAGATCTCCGCCTCCAGAGTAGCTAGGATGACAAGTGTGAGCCATCGGCTCCCACCAGGCTCCTCCCTTTATCTTGTCCAAAGCAAATGTGAGGAGGGAGTGGGGAGGCACCCACCCAGACACCTGCGGCTCTCGCGAGTGACCGTGAGAGAGGTCTGTGCGTGGAGGACACTCCTTGATAAATGAAGTGGCAAGTCCACAGGGCTGGAAAGAAGGGCCCTTGCGCCTCAAGGGACCTAGAATATTCTAAGACAAAGATCCTGATAGGGGTGAAGCCCTCAAACCCAGGCAGGAACAAAGTGTGTGTGTGTGTGTGTGTGTGTGTGTGTGTGTGTACTGGACCACTCACCTGATTCTGGAATGTTCTGTGTGGACCTTCTTTAGCCTTTTCCTCCTCTCCCAACACCCCCCCCCCCTTACTCCAGCCTAGCTATTATTGCCTGGTCTCAGTTGAAAAGGCTGCTCTGAGCTCTGGGAGTCTAAACAAAGACGCAAGCCATCCACTCAAACCCAGAGAGGCCACTTGAGATCCATTCCCCAATTTCTGACACTTTAGGATTTCTTCTCCAGCCAAAGGACTGATAATGGAGTGGGAGGAAGCTCGGGGCAGTCAGCACCTTGCGCTCAGGGAGGAAGGCCTGGCTGAGCCAGGCCAGCAGCAATGGGGGGAGGCAGGGGGCCGTCCTAGGGGCCTGAACGCGAGCAGGACAGAGGCACAGGTCTGCCACTCAGCATCCTGCAGAAAGGGGGCTGAGGTATGGAAGGTACACGTCATTGTATATTGTTAGGTTTTGTTTGTTTGTTGCTTTAGGAAGTGATTGATTCCGCGCAAGATAGATTCTTGGCAAAGCCACTTAAAAAAAATGTTTGGTGGTGGTGGTGGTCATGGGGCTTGAACTTGGGGCCTGGGCGCTGTCCCTGAGCTTTTGCTCTCAAAGCTAGCACTCTACCACTTTGAGCCACAATGCCGCTTCTGATTTTCTGGTGGTTTATTGGGGTAAGAGTCTCATGGACTTCCCTGCCTGGGCTGACTTTGAATCATGATCCTCAGATCTCAGCCTCCTGACTAGCTAGGATTATAGGTGTGAGCCACCGGCACCTGGCTGCCACTTCCTTTTTTGTTGGCACCAGCCACTCAGGTGAAATAGGAGATTCACAGAGGGTCATTATAGCTTCCTGGCCCTGCGAATCCACATTCCTGATGCAGTGTATGGATGGATGGTCGCGCGCGCACACAGTAGCCAATGGAAGAGGGAGGAGCCACAAGAGCAGCAGGAAATGAGGGGGTGGGAACAAGGGCTCAGCTAGACAGGGCGGTGAAGATGGAGCCCCAGAGCTGGCCGCTGCGTCCGGAGCGAGCACACGGGAAGGTTGTTGCTGTGACCTGAAGAACAGTACCCACGGACTGGCGGGTAGGGTGGGAGCTGGCTGGAAGGGGAGCTTACACTGTGCGGTGTTTGCAAGGAGGCGAGTGGGCCCCTAGTGGAGGCGGAGGGGGGGGGGGCAAAAGGAGTGGCCATTTTGCATGAGGAGGTAAAAGCATTGTTGGGGCTGGAAGGCAGGATCCCTCCCAGCCCAGAGGAAGAGAAAGGGGTCACCCCCAAAAGGCTGTGGGAGATGCACGGTCTCGCCGTGCAGATTTGGTTGATGCTAGAACATGAGTTTCAGCACTGGTCCTGGGGCTTGAACTCAGGGTCTAGGCACTATCCCTGGGCTTTTCTTCCTCTTAAGGCTAGCCCTCTACTAATTCAGCCCCAGCTCCTCTTCTGACTTTTTGATACTTAATTGGAGATAAGAGTCGCACAGACTTTCCTGCCCAGGCTGGCTTTGAACCATAATCCTCAGATCTCAGCTTCCTGAGTAGCTGGGATTACAGGTGTGCGCCACCGGTGCCTGACTTAGTCATGTGTTTTTAATTGAGTGATTCATTCTACACCTTTGCTTCTCAGTCAGGTTTCTTTTTGTTCTAGAACATTGCCATGAATTGGTCTGAACGTGCTTCCAAGTCGGGGCTGACTCAGTGTCTCACCCAGAACCTGTTAGGTAGATACAAATTCTCCAAGCAGCGTTGGTTTATTGTTCTTTTTGGGTTTTGTTGTTGTTGTTGTTTTGGGTTATTTGTGTGTATGCCAGTCCTGCGGCTTGAACTCAGGGCCTGGGCACTGTCCCTGAGCTTTTTTGCTCAAGGCTAGCGCTCTACCACTGAAGCCCCAGCACCTCTTCTGGCTTTTTGGTGTTTAATTGGAGTTAAGAGTCTCATGGACTTTCCTGCTCAGCCTGGCTTCGAAATGCAGTTCTCTAATCTGAGCCTCCTGGGTAGCTAAGATTACAGGTGTGTCCGCTAGCACCCAGCATCAACATAGTTTAATGTGGACACCCACAGGTGCTTTTGGTACTGATCAGGTATGAAAACTTCCTGCGTCTCCATTCGTCTCTCAGAGGCCAGGGCCTGCCTGTGCGTCTTGCTGGCCATCCTACAGAGGAGGCCAGTACCATGGGTTAAGTTCTCAGTTCCTGAACCAGCCCTGAACTAATAAATGGACTAGCACCACAGGTGTTCGGTAGTTAAGTCCCCCTGTGTGAGGCGGGAGACCAGAGTCTGCCCCGCAGTTATGAGTCATGGAATCACAATCCCATGTTCCCTCTGGAGTAAACCTCTTCCTTTGTACAGAAAACTCCATGTGGGAAGGGACTAAGGCTATGCATGTGCATGCCAGTACCAGGGCTTGAAACTCAGGGCCTGGGCACAATCCCTGAGCTTTTTCACTCAAGACTGGCATCCTATGGGCTCCATTTCCGGCTTTCCTAACCATGCTAGCTTGGAACCTCCATCCTCAGATCTCAGCCTCCCAAGTAGCTAGGATTACAAGTCTGAACCTTTAGCACCCAGCTAAGACAAAAGCTCTTATTCAGGGAAGGTGGCTCAGTGGTAGAGCGCTTGCCTTGCATGCATGAGGCCCTGGGTTCAATTCCTCAGCACCACATATGCAAAAGAAAAAAGTCAGAAGTGGCACTGTGGCTCAAGTGGTAGAGCGCTAGCCTTGGGCTGAAGAGCTGAGGGACGGCGCCAAGGCCCAGAGTTCAGGCCCCAATGACTGACAAAAAAAAAAAAAAAAAGCTCTTATTCATTGCTGTGTGAGCCATTCCCAACAGTTGGAGGGCATTTCCTGAGCGCTGGCTGTGCAATACCGAATCAGCAGAACTTTGTTAAATCAATCAAATTCATCAGTGTGGTGCCAGACTCAGAAAATGGCGCCCCCGCCCTTCCACTTGGTGTGGTAATACTTCCTAATATCTGATTTCACAAAACGACAAGCATCACTATCATTTTTCAAAGATCGCTCAGCTGTGCTCACCAACACAACAAATGTTTCTTCCTAGATAAATCATTTTGTCAAGCCCAGCTGATTGGCTTCCATAGGAATTTAGATTAAATGCATGGCTCAATTTGTCAGATCAGGTTTCCTAACGACAGTAAGCCTTCCTACCCAACATCTTCAATTAGGCCGGACTTTCTTACACAGTCCATGAGGTTGGTTTTATTTTGTTTTGCCTTTTTGTGTCTGTACTGGGGCTTGAACTCAGGGCCTGGGCACTGGCCCTGAGCTTTTGTCCACTCAGGCCTAGCACTCTACCATTTGAGCCACAGCTTCCCTTCCAGCTTTTTGCTGGTTAGTTATAGATAAGAGACTCAGACTTTCCTACCCGGGCTGGCTCAGATCTCATCCTCCTGAAGAGCTAGATTACAGGGCTGACACATTACTACCAGCTTGTCTGTGAGGTTGTGTAGTTTACAGAGATCTACTCTGCTGTCTGTCTGGTTATCACTGATATGAGTAAGCAATTATATATATATATATATATATATATATATATATATGAGTAAGCAATATATGTTGTGGTATTGACAAATTTACTGAACTCAATTATTCATCCTTACCATATTTTTTGTTGGTTTGTCACCTGGTTGATATCCAACAAAAATAGCATCCTCCTCAATTTCCTTTTTTTTTTTTTTTTGTTGGTCCTGGGGTTTGAACTCTGTCCTGGGAGCTGTCCCTCAGCTCTTCAGCTCAAGGCTAGCACTACTGCTTGAGCCACAGCACCACTTCCGGTTTTTCTGGTGGTTTATTGGAGATAAGAGTCTTAACAGACTTTCCTGCCACAGCTGGCTTTGAACCATGTTCCTCAAATCTCAGCCTCCTGAGTAGTTAGGATGACAGGCGTGAGCCACCAGTGCCCGGCTTTCCTCAATTTCTTTAGTGTTTGTGCCTTCTTTGTTAACACCCAACATATCACCTTTGCTTTCTCTTTCTTTTACTAATTTAATGGTTCACTATTCTAAAAACAGTAGTGCTTCTTTCTTCCTTTTTATAGAGATAGTCTTCATTGTAAGAAGAAAATATTCTGTTTTATTGAATGTAGTTTTTTTGTTTGTTTCCTCCCCAGAAATATGGACTAAAGGTTTCTTTTGGAAGTTCTTTCAGTTTCTAGCAAGAGAAGCAAATTGCTTTTTTTTTCCTCTGTCTTTGGCTTTGGGTGTAATCAATGATAAATTTCCTAATAGTCATTGAAACATATTATACTGTCCCAGTATTCTTTAAATACCGGCTTGGGTTTTCATTGTTAATGGTATACTTCGGTTTGGGTTGTACGTAGGTTCAAGTAAAACAGATTCATAACCCTGTCAGGCTTCGGTCTCCAGATTCACAGTTACACTAGCTTCATGATCAAATTTAGAATGCCTTTGCTAGTCTAAGAATTTTTCAGGCCTTAAATATGCAAAGCAACCCTTCTATAAAACTAGAGTGGTTTGTTGGGGTTTTCTTTGAGGGAGAAAGGGTCAGTAGCACTTTTAACTTTTTTTTTTTTTGGTCACGGGGCTTGAACTCTGGGCCTGGGTGCTGTCCCTCAGCTCTTCAGCTCAAGGCTAGCGCTCTACCACTTGAGCCACAGCACCACTTCCGGTTTTCTGGTGGTTTGTTGGAGATAAGAGTCTCATGGACTTCCCTGCCCGGGCTGACTTTGAACCTCGATCCTCAGATCTCAGCCTCCTGAGTAGACAGGATGACAGGCATGAGCCACCAATGCCAGGCTGCACTTTAAAATATATATATATATATATATATATATACTCCTTAATTCAGTATCTTTCCTTTCAGGTTTTCCTTTGTGAATGTATATAGAATAAAATAAATAAATGCAAGCCCTTGATGCCATTGAAAATATACTGATTCTTATTTCCTGGGTCCAGAGCTAGCGGTGGGAGGGCAGATCCTCCAAAGAGTCTGTATTTCTCCCAGGTCTCCCCACCCACCCACCCATAGCCCACCCATGTAAGATGGCCAGTGCACTATGGAAGGTGCCAGAACTTCACCCAATCATGCTCGCCTGGTAAGTGGACCTGGTCATACCCTCAGCTCCAAACTTGACTGCTAGGGCCCACCGCTGAGGCGGGCACACCTGGCCTTGATTAGGGTCCAGGACTTGGGAAGCAAAGACAGAAAAATGACCCACTTGGTCAATGCACGGCAGATCGATGGACTTTCCCAGAGCGGTGATGTCATTAGCAAGCCTGCCAGTCAGTGCCCAGAAGTGCTTTCCCAAGCATTTCCTGCAAGAAATGAAGCCCCTGTCCAATGGTTTTCCCGATAACAGAAATAATACATCTGAATTTTCTTCAGAAATAAGTCCTGAGGGTTGTTGCTCTTAATGTGTAGCAGCTAAACAGCGTTTTAAAAAAAAAAAGTATGGGGATGTCTTTCCCATCATATTTAGAATGACAACGGAAGCCATGAACTACATGATGTGTTTACTGGCTGCGATCCATTTCACAGCCCTTCCGTTCAGAGCACTAACTGCTCACGAAGATCCCAGGGCGAGGCCCACCCCTCGAGTTCTCCCTCAGGAGCAGGGTCTCAGGGTTGGGCCAGGGGCCCAGGGCCAGGCAAGGGTCTCTAACCAGTGCTGCTCTTCATTCACAGTGCCACCGGTCATCCGGGTTTATCCAGAGACCCAGGCACAGGAGCCTGGAATGGCAGCCAGCCTGAGGTGCCACGCCGAGGGCATTCCCACACCCAGAATCAGCTGGCTGAAAAACGGCGTGGAGGTCTCCGCCCAGATGTCCAAACAGCTCTCTCTTTTAGGTAAGAATTACCCAGATGTCTAAGGGGCCCAGCACCATCCAGTTCAGGCTGGTTCCCACCTAGGCAGTGGAAAAGAGAGGCAGAATTTACTTTTGTCTGACAGGTTAAGGGGAGACCTGAGGTCTTCCCTCCATTTTCCTGAAATCTGGGCACACACAGGTGTGAGCAGTGACCAGAAGCTCTGCCATCTCCGCCTCTTGGTCACAATTCCTGGACATAAAGCCAGGGATGTTGACTGCCCAGCCTCACCCAAGGGCTGTGAGATTTATTGTTGTTCTTGTTGTTTGTACCAGTCTTGGGACTTGAACTCAGAGCCTGAGAGCTAGCCCCAAGCTTCTTTTGCTCAAGGCCAGCACTCTACCACTTGAGCCTCAACTCCATTTCAGGCTTTTTTTTTTCTTTTTTCTTTTTTGGAGTAGTTTATTAGAGATAAGAGACTCACAGACTTTCCTGCCCGGGTTGGCTTTGAACCCCAGTCCTCAGATCACAGCCTCCTGAGAAGCTAAGATTACAGACATTAGCCACAGGGGCTGGATTTTTCACCCCAGCAAGGGAATGGGAGGGAATGCTGGAGGAGAGGGGTTCACAGAGCAGGCCACCCTGAAAACTGTCCTTTCTCCAGCCAATGGGAGCGAACTCCACATCGGCAGCGTCCGGTACGAAGACACAGGAGCATACACCTGCATCGCCAAAAACGAAGTGGGCGTGGATGAAGACATCTCCTCCCTCTTCATTGAGGACTCCGCTAGGAAGACTCGTGAGTCCACCCTGATCTCTACGCATCTCCCCGCGGGGCTCAGGGAGGTTAGAGAGCCCAGGACCCTAGCTACCAGCTAGAAAGCCTCTGCAGGCCGGGAGAAACACGTATCTTCCAAGCCTACAGCTGGGCGCAGCAGGTCACCACAGACGATGATCAGACCTCCTTTGGACACCTAGACTGAACTCAAGACCCCAAGGAAGTTCCAGAACCAAAGCCCCAGTCCTGATTCGTACTTGTCATGCAACCAGATACTCTGCCCCTCCCAACTTAGCCACAGTTTTGCTTCCCCACAGTATGAGCCTCTTAAACTGGAAAATCTCAGGAATGCGTAACTCACAAGGCTTAGGTCACTCTCATTGCAGTTTAGTGATCACTGTTCCATTTTAGTGCTAATTATTGCCAATCTCGTAATATTCCTAATCTATCAATTAAACTTGTCGTAGATAGGCCTAGCCATGGAAAATCAATAGAGACTTCAGAACCATCTGTAGTTTCAGTCACCCAAAGGGGAGAGGGCTTGGGATGTGTCCCCGCCCCCCAAAGTAAGGGTGGACTACTGGGCATGCATACAACTATGATCATGGTGACTTCTACTCCATGGATTGTCACCCACCTCGTGTGCTCTCCCTTATAGTCACTGCCATCCAGGTGGGACGACAGATGAGAATTTGTCAGTCTCCATCCTTTGATCAGACTCCGAGCTAAGGCTCTGTCCTCAGGAAGTAACCAGAAGCACTTTGCATGGAGAAAGCTAGATGAACTCAGTTCTCCTGGAAGTAATTAAGAAACTGAGCAGAGAGCAGAGATACTATGATCCAGGGGCCTAAGTTCAAAGAGCTCATTTAAGAATCAGAATGTCGGTCAGACGCCAGGGGTTTGCACCTGTAATCCCAGCTACTCAGGAGGCTGAGATCTGAGGATTGTGGTTCAAAGCCAGCTCAGGCAGGGACATTCATGAGACTCTTATCCCCAATGAACCACCAGAAAACCAGAAGTGGAGCTATGGCTCAAATGGTAGAGCGTTTGCCTTGAGCTGAAGAGCTGAGGGACAGCGCCCAGGCCCAGAGTTCAAGCCCCACGACCAGAAAAGGAAAAAAAAATTAGAGTCTCCTGAGCTTGGAAGGGTTAATGCATATCAAGTTGCCCACAGTAGCACAGATTCTGTGAGTGATGGAGTCAGTGCTTGACTGTCCCTCGGTTGAAAGAAGATCTGACATTGTTTTCTTCTCTTTCCCTCCTGCAATCACGTCCCTACTTTCCTGCCTCTTGACTGCTTCAGTGGCAAATATTTTGTGGCGAGAGGAAGGTACTAAGCTTGATTGTCCTGTGTGGGGGTCATCGTGGGTCATCTTTCCATGTGCTACTCGCTGGCTTTGCAGATACCGGGCTGTTCCCACAGGGAGAGCCCTCAGAACAAATCAGAGGGGAGGGGAAGGGAGGGGAAAGTCAAACTCCCAATTTAAAAACCAGTGGCTCACACCTGTAATCCTAGCGACTCAGGTGGCTGAGCAGCTCACAGTTCAAAGCCAGCCCAGGCAGGAAAGTTCCTGAGACTCTTCTCTCTAATGAAATACCAAACCGTCAGATGTGAAGCTGTGCCTGAGGTGGTAGAGCACTGAGCCATGAGCAAAAAGCTCAAGGACAATGCCCAGGCCCTGAGTTCAAGCCCTAAGACTAACACACACACACACATATTCATTCTCTCTCTCTCTCTCTCTCTCTCTCTCTCTCTCCCTCTTAATGTCTTTAGCAGCAAACTTTAAGATAGACAATTTCTATTGAAATATGCTTATAACCTCAATTAAAGCAGACAACCTGACAGGGATTTCCAGATCCTATGAATCCTAGATCTGGACCTTGTGTTTTCTCAGTGGTTGATATTGTTGTTGGGTTTAATACTTGGTTTATCATGTGCTGTTAAAAAAGAAAAAAAAATTAGACTGAAGAGGCCGCTCAGCAGCACAGTGCGTGCCCAGCAATACACAAGGTCCAGCCAAAAAGAAAGACTGAATACAAAATAAAAGGATACCTTACCTCATACAACTTTTTTTTTAGCATCCACAGCAGATATATTCAAAGCATTCTTTTGGAGGGGATGCTACAGAGGAAAGCTACCATGGTTTCTATCAATATGTATTTTTCAATGGCTGGGTTTTACAAATTAGTAACCAAACGAATCTTTAGATACAGGTTGAAACCACTATGTGAAACGGCCATCGAAGTGGTCCAACAAGACAGTTTCACATGGTTTGAAACTGGCATGCATGCGTGAAGCAAGGTCACAGCCTGATCCCTGCTTGAGGAGTGTGTCCCCACGCGGGCCCCGTCCCCATCCTGTGACCACCGTGCCCCAGCCAAGCCAGGTCACCCATAGTGACTTAGTGGACATGAGAGGCAGGAAAATGTGCGCTGTGGTCAGGGCTGAGCACGCTCCCTCTCTGGCTTTTGTCTCACTTTTCCTCACAGGAACTCCACACAGCATGCTCTAGAGTCTACCATGTACACACACACACACACACACACACACACACACACGCACGCACGCACGCACGCACACACACGCGCGCGCGCACACACGCACGCACACACACACGTGCGCGCGCACGCATGCACGCACACACACACACACACACAGACTCCGGTGTTAAAGGCAGGTAGGCCCAGCCTTGCTCCTCCTTGGACCTTTTTCTTTGATCTTCAAGGAGGCTGAGTCAGACATCGATGACTCACACTTACAATCCTAGTTACTCAGGAGGCTGAGATCTGAGGATTGTAGTTTGAAGCCAGCCTGATCCTCAAGACCCTAATTAACCAGCAAAAAAAATCAGATACAGAGGTGTGTGGCTCAAGGGGTAGAGTGCCAAGCATAAGAAAAAAAAAGCTGGATGAGAGTGTAAAGCCTTGAGTTTAAGCTTCATACCTGGTACCATTGAAGGGGACCCTTCTCCCCAGAGAAAGACTGAACCATCTGTGCCCCGCCCCCAGTCCTTTCTCCCCAGATGTCTTCTGGGCTGGCCACAACTCCGAGCCAGGGTGAGGGGTGTGGAGGCCTGGCCAGGGTGTGGACTGCACTGTCTGGCAGGATAGAAGCGAGAAGACGACGTCAGAAAGGCAGGGTTAGACAGGCTGAGACCCAGGGAGTACAAGCTGCAGCGTCCTGTGTGCGTCCGAAGGGCGGCCCGGGGCTGCGGAGCTGGAGGTGGTGGTGGGCTTTACTGTTCCCTAGCCCTTGGCTGGGCACTTTCTCCCCCATGCCCCGCCACCCGCAAGCCGGCTCCTCACCGCCTTCCCCTCCCCGCCAGGAACGACATTGTGTCTCACGCATTGCACATTGTGACGCCGCAGGTCAGCGGCAGGCGGGGCCTGAGGGTGTGCGTTCCCTTCTCCCAGGCCTCAGCGTGGGAAACATGTTCTACGTCTTCTCCGACGACGGCATCGTGGTCATCCACCCCGCGGACTGTGAGATCCAGCGGCACCTCAAACCCACCGAGAAGATTTTCATGAGCTATGTGAGTGTCTGTCCCTGGAGCAGCTGCTGATAGGGGAGAGTACGGTTCCAAGTTCGTTCCCAAGCTAGAGAAACAATCTGCAGAGCAAAAAGGTCTAACTCTCCCTCTTCCATCCATCAGTCCCTTCTCTGCCCTGAGACCCAGGATGCACCTGGATCCCTGCCCTCCACAAGGTCACAGTCAAACGATGGAGACAGTACTGTGGGCAGACAGCTGCAGCACAGGCGTTGCTGTGGAGGTCCTCAGTAAGCTAGGGGAGAGCCCTGGGGTCAATAACACACGAAGCCCAGTAGACAGGGAGCAGGCAGACACAGAGGACTGGACAGCCGGCGACAGATCCAGGAGAATGCTTCGCTCTGTCACACGGCTGTGCTGCGCGTCCAAGATCTCATTGGGGTTTTTGAATTGTTTTTTTTGGAAATGTTAATTCTATGTTTTTTGGAAATATTAATTCTATTGGATCTTCCTCTCACATAATAACTGCAAAGCCAGACTGGTTAATTTCTGTGTGTTTGTCGGGGGGGGGGGGGATTTCTAGGGACCTTTTTGGTCAAGGCTGGTGCTCTTCCACCTAAGCCACACCTTCTCTTCCAGCTTTTGGGAAGGAGATGAGTTTCATGTTCTTTTCCTCTCACAGCTGGCTTTGAATTATAGTCCTCTCCGGTCTCAGCCTCCTGAGGAGCTAGGATGACAGGCAAGAGCCACTGATACCCAGCTTGGTTACTTTCTACAATTAAATGTAAATAATCATACTCTACTACTTTGACATTAATTTCTTACTATTTCTCAGGATCTCCCAGATTCCTAGACTCAAGTTTTCCAGATAAGACTCTCTGAAATGGATTTCATGCAACATAAGCCACAGTGAAAAATATCCCAAATATTTGTTTCTGCACCAAAAAAAAAAAAAAGTGCCTAAATACTTTCCTGAAGGATTGCCAGGCTAGCCTTCCTTCTAGAAAGTACTGAGTCCCTTCTCCCCTCCCTCTTCTTCTCCCCTTCCCTCTGCTGGGGTTTGATGCCTTCTTGGCCCAAGAAGGAGGAGGGAACTTTAAAAAAAAACACATGGAGCCAGGCGCTGGTGGCTCACGCCTGTAATCCTGGCTACTGAGGTCAGGAAGACAGTAAAGTCTGTGAAACTCTTCTCTCCAATTGCCCACCAGAAAACTGAAAGTGGCTCAAGTGGTAGAGCACTAACCTTGAGCAAAAAAAAAAAAAAAGCTAAAGAACAGTACCTAGGTCCTGAGTTCAAGTCTCAGGACTGGCACAAAAAAAAGGTACATGGCCGACGATTGCCTTACAGGAAGAAATCTGCCCTCAAGAGGAAGCGGACACCGCGCAGCCCTGCCAGTGGGCCTCTGCCGTCAATGTCAGGAACCAGTACATCTACGTGGCCCAGCCAACACTGAGCAGAATCCTTGTGGTGGACATTCAAGCCCAGAAAGTCCTACAGGTACAACCCTACAGAGGAGTAAGTAAGCACCTCTGTGCTGGGACTCCATCCAGGTGCAATGTGACAAAAACCACAAGACTGTCAGTTGTAGAGCTTCAGCTCAGGGCCTGGGCGCTGTCCCCGAGCCTCTTTGTGCTCAAGGCTAGCGTTCTACCACTTGAGCCACAGCACCACTTCTGGTTTTGGAGTGGTTAATTGGAGATAAGAAGGGACTTTTCTGCCCAGGCTGGCTTCAAACCATGATCCTCAGACCTCAGCCTCCTGACTAGCTAGGATTATAGGCAGGAGCCACTGGTGGCCAGTGTATTTTTTTTTTTTTTGGTGTGTATGTGGTGCTGAGGAATCCAACCCAGGGCCTCATGCATGCTAGGCAAGCACTCTACCACTGAGCCACCTGCCCACAGGACTGTTTTATTAAAGCGGCCCTAACTCTTTGTATTAAGATTGGGGGAGGGTCCTCTCAAACTTTGTCCTGGCTGGCCCTAAACCACTGTCCCCCTTATCTCTGCTTTTCCAGTAGCTCAGATTCTAGTCACGAGCCACCTTGCCCAACTTCTTCCTATATTTTAAACATGCACCTAGAATACTTTCTGATGGGTTGAATGTAGGTATGAGAGAAAAAAGGAAATCAAAGTGCAGATTAAGCCTGAAACAGTATCCAATATTTTAGAGACAGCAAGGTAGAAATTGGATAAACAGGTCTGGAATCCAAGGCGAGTTATCTAGCATTGGAAGTTTGAGAGAGGTCAAAGTTAACCATGAAATTCTAGCAACTAGAACAGGAGCTGTTTCTACCTGTCCTTCTAAAATTCCTTGGCCAGAGAACACACTAAGTAAATTTTAATCTTTCTGAAGTTTAAAGATGGATCTGAAACCGAACTTATGACCATTGTTGGCAAATGCTCTGTGTGCCTCAAGAGACTGTGTTTTATGAGGCTGTTAGCTATGATATTAGATATATGTCGGTTATGTCAGATTGATTCATTATACTGTTCCGATTTCCTAGCCTTTGTGATTTTTTCCCCCTCAGCTGCTGAAGAGTTTTAAAAAATTTCCACTCTGACTTTAGATTTATCAATGTCCCAGATTTTTGCTTTAAAATTGTAATATCTTCCTGAGGGAAAGAATCCTTTTGCTTTAAAAAAAAAAAATCCTCTTTATCTCTGGTAATGCTGCTTGCCTGAAAAATCTATTTTTTCCCTAATACTAGCATAGCTAAATCAGATTTATTTTGATGGTTCTCACGTTATTTTCCATTCTTCTGTTTTTCAAGAAACTCTTTCGTATTAAAATATCAATGGAGATGTAGTTGGAGTTGGGATTTTATCTAGTTTAATAATCTTAGTCTTTTAGTATTTTTGATCCATTTATATTTAATGTAAATATGCTTGATTTAAATTTTACCTTTAATTTTCTCATGGGACTTGAACTTGGCCTCTGAACTCTTTCACTCAAGGCCTAGTACTCTACCACTTGAGCCACAGCAACACTTCCAGTTTTTTGGTGATTAATTGGAGATGAGAGTCTCATAGACTTTCCTGTCCAGGCTGGCTTTGAACTGCGACCCTCAGATCTCAGCCTTCTAAGTAGGATTACAGGCGTGGGTCACACATCTAATTTGACCTGTTTGTGTTGCCTTTTTCTTCTTTTAGCTTTGTTAAATGTTTTTTTCCCCTGTTATCCTGTTTAGAAAGTACTCTTTTGTTCCTCTCAGTATTAACAATTTGCATCTTTGCATCAATGCATGTGTATATAAATTGACACTTTGTTCCCCCCAATAATGCTAGAAACAACTCCTTTAACCTTTCTCAGGTCTCATGCATGACAGTGGTAATGAATTAACTCCATAGATAACTTAACCCTTCATGATTATCATTTTTATCAGGCAATAATGTGTATTTCTACCATATATTTACCT